GATTATCCAGAGATTAACAATTAATTGGATACCGGCCTCCCGTGTTAGTGGGAGCGAGCTGGTTTTGGCGTGGAGCACGTTCTCCTTGCAGGCCCAAGAACTGTTTTCAGCTGACGCAGCGAAAATCTGCGTCATCGCGCGCAGCGAGATCTTCGTTCGCGCGTTTCAAGATCTCCGTTCTATATTCGCACTCCTCAAGATCTCTTTATTCGCGCTGATCAACGCTCCGTTCCGTCACGCGCCGCTCTCTTTCTCATTCGTTTACGCGCTTTGTTACGCTCGTGCTCGAGCGTCGAAATCCGCTGGTGCTCGAAACTATATTCCGTTAACGGGCCTTCGGTCCGTCGGATCAATCATCTTTCTGTCGGCGTTTATTTTGTATTCTGTGTATGTGACGTAAATATAAATATTGAGATTAACGATAATTCACTCGCGAGTGAATTGAGAGTCCCGTTTAACCGTCGAACCTTCTGAACTCCAGACTATCCTCATACATTCCTCAATTAAATATTTTATTGAATATTTAATAAAATATTGAATAATAAATGTTAAATATTAAATATTGTATTTATTGTTTAATATTTGACTAAATAATTAAATATTTATTTTTCAGGAAGCCTTGTTTCCACTTTACGCTCCTCCGACTTCTCTAGAAGTGGAGCTAATATTCACGAGTCTCGCATTATCTACTAGTCAATTTGAAATGCTCTTGGATCTAATGTATAGGTAAGATTTCTGAATCTTAGCAAACAATTTAACTTAAACACTTCGAGTGCCAAGCACATCCCTGTTTAAAATAATACATACAATATGATCAGACTACATTGTATTACATTCAATTTTAATGTAAATGAATAAAACCTTATTAATTTACATTAAAATTGAATGTAATATAATGTAATCTGATCATATTATATCTATTATTTTAAACAGGGATTTCGAGCGTGATCTCTGCGGGGCCCAAGAGTGAATTTTTGATAGTTTTGTTTTAAATATATATTCAATGCACTGAAAAAATAAGGTATTATCCAATATATTTATAAGTAACGAAATTGTTTCTACTTGAGTGAATAAAATCGTCACCCATAAATGGGTGATAGGGCCCCTGCGAGAACTTATGCGCTACTCAGATCTGAGTGACGTGGTACTCAAAGTAAACATTACGAGCTAAGGGATGTATCTAAATTTTGTTTAGAATCGCCAAGGGTTATCAAGGATCGCCTGATCTTCGCCTGACTTGGCTCGCAAACATGGCGCAGCAGCACATGGAAAGGAAAAATCACACGGAAGCAGCAATGTGTTTGGTGCACAGTGCCGCTCTGCGGCGCAATAAGAATCTGATTAGTCCCGATCAGCGGGATTATCAGCGGGAGCTGGAGAGAAATTATCAGAGATTGACCGAGAGATTGGCACCTCTCATTGCTTGGAGGTAAGAAGTTTTAATTAAAAAGATACATATTTTTTTAAGTTTATCACGTTAAAGAAATTTTTGTTATGCTGCTATGTAGTGGACCGTCTTTAATTAATCAGCAAGCTGTACCGTCGACTCCTCCGCGCTAGTAGGGAAATGAAACACTGCCATAGAAGCTTACCAAAGACTAATGTATTAATTATTAATCGCGTGATTGTCATAGCTAATTCTACTTTTAATCGTTATTGTGAAGAATATACGTACGTTGAATCCTTGTTTTATAACAGGATTGAAAAAATTCTAAGTTATTTATAAAATAAATATATATTTAGTTAAAAGAATTATATGAGTTATATTGTTTATAATTTATATGAGTTTTAT